TTCAAGCCAAAATATCCGCACGCGCCGCAACAACCTAACTGTAGCCAGTCCGACGCGGCGGCAGAAGTCAGCCGGCCGCCGCGCGAGGCCAAGGTTACGATACTTCACTATGGGCCAATCGCGTCAAGCGATCCCGTAATGAGAAGCGTTAAGTGCAAAAACGCCACTGGCCGCGAGGTAGGCGACATACTCTGTTCGAAATGGAAGCGGCGGGTATCGCGAACGGTATAGGGGACTCGTTGTATTGCGATATCTGTGGTACTTAAGGTTTTTTGAAGAGGGAAGGTTAGGGCCGGAGGCCCAGGCTGGCAGGCTGCAGAGAAGACTCTGCAGGAGCCCCACTCCTTGCTGCGCGGCCCCACAAGCAGTGAGCTCTTCCTACCTCCTACCGGCCGTGACAGCGGGGATCATGACCGAATTCCCGTGCCATATCATCCGTGGCGTGTCGAACTACGCAAACCCGCAAAAATGACAGGTGGCAGCACTACGCTGCAGCGGCGGCTGCGGGGGTGAGCGAGGTGGGCCGTTCTGGTGGGCCTCGTTCGCAGGGCTTTGGCGGATTCACCACTCAGGTTCCAGGGCTTTCTCCGAGGGCGCGACCTGCTGGCCGGCAAGCAGTTTGATACCTTGGACGAGAAGCCGGCCCGGCCGCCGCCGTCCCCCGCCATACACAGGCACCGGCCGCCGTTACCCCTACCAGCACCTTCCCCAGCACAGCACCTTACACCACACCCTATCCAACACCACACTTTACCCAGCACCAGCACCCGGCACCGGCCGCCGCCCCTCCGTTATACTCGCGACTCCTCCTCGGTCGACCGCATTCCAACGATACGCACGGCGCAAGATTGGTCTGCCTAAGCACGCACTTTGCCTGCTAAGCACGCACGCGCAAGATTTGCCTTGACGGCACGCGCCTCTGTTTGTTGCCACAAGCGTTTATACGTATGTATAGGTGGCATCGCACGCGCAAGGTCTTAGCGCGGCTCTGTTTGCCAGCGTGACCGTAACGGCACGACCTGCACCACGCTGGCAAACCGCGCAGCCTATCGTTCGATACGCGACACAAGGAGCGCCGGAATGCGGCCCGACCTCCGTGTGCCTTCGGGTTTAATTCTGCTAGCCGCCTCGATAGCAACATGTAACCTAGTGTTTAGCTTTGGTAGCGCTAGCACGTCATATGCCCCCTGGGAGGCAGGGACTGGTAGATCCCGACTAGATGACGTTAAATATACTCACTCACTCACTCACCCCTTAACAGGGAGACTTTCGGCTCTTTATATGTTGCTATCAGTTCTTCCAAGGATCATTATTATGGTTGTTCTCCTTCGATCTCCGATCCGGATCCTCGATCCTGATATCATGTTTTCCAGTGGCCCACGCCCGCTGAAGACTGACCGTGACGCTTGACGCTATGTCGAAGACTAGCTGTAGCGCCTGGCGTCCCAGGGTGTTCTGGAGCCGCTTAGGCCTGTGCCACCGCTTGGGGTGTTACAGCGCTAAGGGCTTTTCTTTCCACGGCATAGTTCTCGGCGTGCTTTAACACAGTGCGTGCAAAGTGGAGAGAGGTGTCGCGACTCGCCGAACAGCCGCGTTATCAGAGCACGTAGGGGCAGAGTAAATGGGTAACAGATAGATAGTGTCGGAAGAGAGGGTGGCCCGGAGGGCCCTGCCTGCACAGGATTGAGATATCCTGTGCGGAGGGCCCACAGTGGGTCTCGCGGGCCAGGGCCCGCGCCTCTGTCTATCTAAGGCCCTAATGGCCGTGACATTAGGGAAAAGAGGGTGTGAAGCTCCTCAGCTCGCCAGCACTCCCGATTCTCGCAGCCTGACCTCGGCGTAGCCTTACCTCGATCCCTGCGAGAACTTAAGCGGGGTTGTGCAACCGGCTTCGGCGTTTGGCTGGACGGGCCCGGGATCGTAAAGCCACAGTCGGAACTAGGCGCTGCACGTCTAGCCAAACACGGAGGGTGGCTGGACATGATCTAATAGGTGGCAGCACGTAAATTAGCCACATTTTTTCGGGACTGGTCTTGGCATATTATAGAGTGTGATAGCAAGCTGCGGACGTCTAGGGCCGCATCAGTATGCAAAAGCGTCAAGGCTTTGATACGCCCGAACAAAGTCGGGC